AATTTGATCAATTGCATTGAGAGACCAGCTGACCAAATCCATAACTAAGAATTTGGAAGATATGCAAAAAGAGGCTCCAAAAAGAAGACAAGACACAGAGCTGAGGCAGGGCAGATATGGGAGGGTGCGGGAGACGGAGAAAACGCCTCCTCCTCCACCGAGAGCAGAAAGAAAAAAAATTTAAAAGTTTAAAATTGTAAATACATGTCGCTCCAGGTTAAGATGCTGCTATATCAAAACAATCAATGCAACCATCTTTGAAGTAATTGGTATCCTTTATTACACTCTGCACATTTAACTTGTTGCTATTGAGAACAATGAGATTAGTGCTGAGATGACCGACCATACAAACTCTGACAGTTCAATTTTTCCCAATGAGATAGCAGATAAAGTCTAATGTGCCAACACTAACAGGATGCCTTATGTGCCAGTTTATTCTGTATTTAATTTGGTTTCTGTCATTGATGTTTTAATCAAAGGAATGAGCATGGCTCATTATCTAAATTAAACGAGGGAGCAAGGGGTTTGACTTAGTCACAGATTGAATCATAGGATCCTGGAATGAATGATCAGGAACCAATTAGATTTTGCTGCACATCAATTAGAGGCATATCCTTTTACCTGTGTCAGTAAATGTTCATCAGAAAAAAATGCATAGATTTGTATGTGAGAACGTTTACTAACTGGAAATTAAAGATGAAGCAGTTATATTGTAACATTGTTGTACATTTAAATGTTAGTTAAAAAAACCAAGCCTCCATCCATTATTTCTTGGTGTTTATAAATGTTGAGAATCCTGAAACCAAGAATGGAGGTGGGGCAAAATATGCAGTTTCTTTTCTAAAACAGTTTATCTCTCCAGCTTATACGTTACAAATTAGGTAAAACTGAGCTTAGGCACTCTGAAGTTTGCTGTAATTTCCATTGATCTCAGAACCTTTCTAAACCTCAACACTAGAAATTGGTTGGTTTCTTTTCTCATTGTATACCAAAGTTTTTGAAAGTCATGGTTTCAAAACTTCAAACAGTTTATGTCATAATCTGTCCATAGGGTTTAAATGTCTGTGATCAAAAGAAGAAGAGTTTTTGACTTGAGGCTTCTGATTTATTTAATTTCTTTGTGGCACTAGTGGCTGTTATTTAAAAGTGGATAGTGTTTTGAATTGGGTCTGGGTGGAGAGAGAGGGGTAAGACATGTAAGAAAGGTCTCACCGGATTGTGACTTGATCAAGGAATATCTGCTTCGATGACTGAGGCCTCCATACATGGATCGCGCTCTCTACCGCTGCACCACGAGCCGCGTCCTGAAGCTTCTGATTTATTGGCTATCTACCTTATGACCCTCAGCTATGGTGATAAGACAATGACCCAAAGAATGAGAACCTGGGTTCTGCAGGGAGCTTTCTCACCAGGATGAGAAGCTCCATTCGGTGGGAGCTTGTAACAGAGGCTGTGCTCCTCCGCATTAAAAGAAGTTCGTTGAAGTGGTTCGGCATCTGATTAGGATGCCTGATGGGCGCCTATTCTTGGGAGGTTTCTGATAATGTCCCACTGGGAGAACCTAATCTCAACCTAGATCCCAACCCTTCTGGCCTGGAAATCCCCCAGAATGAGCTGGAGGTAAAGGGAATGTCTGAGTCTTCCTGCTGGACCTAGTACCGATGCAACCTTGGATAGGCAGACGACAATATATGCTTTAATACGTGATATTAGAAAACCACTGGATCTTTTTTTTGCTTAAGTTTATCATATGATTTGTCCCCTAGACCAGTTGACTTTGCTATTTGTCATGTCCTTTGCAATTTATGCTACTCCATTGTTATGCCATCTTTAGTTCCCCACAAGTCTCCGTATAATTGACAAACTAGATATTTAATTGATTATTCTTATTTTCTTTTAGTAGATTTTCTGTAGCTAATGCTAAGATTGGACCTCACAGTCATGCATATCCTACATGCAATGACTCAAACATAACAGGATGCTGTGAAGTGCTCAGAATGTGAATTCAGTGTTGAATTTTCCATCCATTAGCATGCCAGGCTGTCAGTCTGCATCCTGACACCGTCTCTCTGCCTGAAAACTGCTCTCCTGACATGCATGTGCACTTTTAGAGGGGGCGTTTTCCTTCCTGTAGCTGTTCTAATCTTTTTCCTCTGCAGATTGCAACTGCTGTTTGGCAATATTTATTGCTATGGACAAATGTAGAGACTTACGTAAAACCAAAGCTGGTCTCATCTTGACATTACCATAGCAACAAAATGTCCCAAGTATTCTCTCAAGAGCTTTTGGGGGGGTGGGGGTGGAGGGTTTGTTGCTGCCTTGTGGCATTACCATTAGCAACAGAGGTGGACGCCACTCTGCTGTCTCTGATTGGTTGTGATGGACGTGCCTATTAGACCTGCTACCATTCCTTCACCCGTCTCCCATAAAATTGAACCACAATCAAGACAGTATGGCTCATCAGGGATCAAGAGTCCCAATCCTGCTACTTGATGGAACTCCAATTAATTGTCAGAGCTGCTTTATAGCCTGTCCATTTTGAGAGGCAGCGCATGCTGTGCTGTGCCTGGCATAATATTGGACAGAAGCAAGCAACAAAAAGATATAAAACAGTGTGAAATCATATAAATAGCTGCAGGTTGTCAAAATATCTTATTATTTAATAAATCATGTCTGTGACATCAGTTTGTACAGGAGATTAGGTAAAAAATCAAGGCCATGACAAGAAGGTGTGCTTTACAGGAGAGGCATGGCAGTGTGTTTTGTGTCATGTCTAGCCAGGTGCTCTAAAAACAGTCCTGTTCATGTACGTTTGGGGACGTAAAGGTTGATGATCTCAGGATCAATAGAAATATGATCAGATTAAAGTGAAGGACATAAACAATGGCTCATGAGGAACAGCAGATTCAATTAAGGTGGCTTTGGAGAATGCTTGTCCATATTTTGTAGAAAAAAATCAAACATTTGCAAGGCATACAGTACATCTTTTGTATGTGTTTGTTGTGGCCAGTTTTAGGCACCAATTATGTATGGTCATGCAGAAATATTTATGTTACCTTTGTCTTTGTGTTCTGGAAAGTTTTAGATCTTCTTAAGCTGGGGACACACTACATTACTTTCTCAGTCTTGACAGATTTCGTAAAGACTAGGTGTTCCCACTAACAGACTTTTAGTTTCACGAATAAAATACCATGGATCACACACTTAACTAGACCTGCAACTAAAGTCAACTGAGCCCTCAAAGTTTTGTGGAAAACGTTTGTGATAGGTTTTTTTTTTTTTAAGATTTTTTTTTGCGGCACTAGTGGCCTTTATTTTTCAGTGTTTTTTGACAGTACGCAGACAGGAAACGGGTGGAGAGAGAGGGGAAGACATGCAGCAAATGTCACTGGGGCCGGGACTCAAACCCAGGACCGCTGCATTGAGAACCAAAGCCTCAGTACATGGGCCGCGCGTTTAACCCCTACACCAACAGCGCCGCACCCAGTGATTGTTTGAAGTTGGACCATACCAGTATACCAATAAGTGGTGGTAATAGAAGATATCGTCAGAACTTGGACACGCTATGTGCCACTCCAACATATTTAGAAGTTTAACCCACAAGTCAATATGGTTTGGATGTTTGTGACTGTATTTGTTGTAGTCATGTTGAGAGTTGGAACATTTTTGCAGGATATTTCTGGGTTCTGGAATGACTTTTAATGTTGGCTTTATTCTAAAAACATAATTTCTTTCTTAACAAACAACAGTATTATGTTTTGGTATTTGGAATGTATGATAAATAGGTATATTCTACACTATATTGCCACTCGTATTCTCTTACCCATCAAAATAATTGAAATCAGGTCTTCCAATCACCTTGACAGAAGGTGTATAAAATCAAGCACCTAGGCATGTAGACTGGGAGGATAATGCTGTGGGGTTGTTTTTCAAAATATATCAGACTTTTAAATTATTTGAGGATACTGTAGTAGCTTATGACTTATTTTCAAAATAAAAAAGAAACACTTTCTTGACCATATGGACGTCCTGTTATTTTACATAACAAATGAAAAAATTTTCTTTGATTTCTATTATGGGGTGTCTTTCAGTGACATCCCTGCCCTGCTTTTTGTAAAGCTACAAGATCACTGGGTGTTTTTTCCTTTCTCGTTTTCTTTCAAAATTGCCACCAACTTTCAGCAGAAAGTAATTTTTTTTCTTTCAAATAATCTGTGTGGCACAATCAGCTTTGGTCTCTCTGAATCCAAAGCAGTTTGCTCTGGCTGTAAGTTATATAACGGTGAAGGCACCCAAACTCTGCAGCACTGAAAATGGAGAACAAGGACAGATTTTGAGAGGGGAGTGCATATGATTATAAAATCTTTAAAAAAAATCGTGCTTACATAGACAGATTTTAGTGGTACTTTCAGGCTTAGAGAAACCACATGAGGTTTGGATACAACTTTATCTCTTGATATTGACCTTTAACCCTTGTTTATAAGTAGGGATGCACTTTATATCAACATCGGTATCGGCCCATGTCACTCATTTTTTAACATACAGGTTTCGGTCTGATAAGTAAGACTGGGCCGATATTAATAACCGATTTTCATTATCGTCTTGTCTCTGTGTTTCTGCAGGGGGAGGGGAGGGGGTTGGCCATGTGGTATTTGTTTGGTCATGTGACAGTGATAGTGATGCAGTGCAGGACTCTAGGGTGTTTACCTGAAGCAGAGAAGCAGTGTCAGCGTTGTTGTCATTTTACACAGTGGCTCAATATCTCAATAATATCTGTAAATATCGGTTATCGGCCATGACAGCGATATTTATATCGGATATTGATATTGACCTGAATTTTGATATTGATCCATCCCTATATATGAGCCACCGCTGCAAATCAGCCAGTAGAAAAGATGACCTTTGTACTTTTTCATTACATTATGCACGACCCTCAATCTATTACAGCTAGCATGACTTAATTAAGAGGAAAATAGTTTGGCTTACAGTAAACCATTTCAGCAAATCCCTTCTTTTGCAGGCCCTAAATAGTTTTCCTAAACCCACCCTCCCACTCAATCCGCTTTCCATTGTGCTGACAATGAGCCTTGTTTGCTGTTAGGGCACAAAGTGCAGTGAGAGGGCCAATTTTAATGCACTCCTATTTAAAATAAGCCTAAGCATTGTTCCCTCATCTAAACACTCTCCCCAATCACAGGGTTCTATTCTGCTGCCATTTCTGTTTGTGCTTATGCAGAATATTTCCATTATTTCTGCAATAAGACCTTTAATAAGCACTCAGTCGAGTGAAGAGCAGCTATAATTACAGTCAGTCAGGCGCTGAGTCGGGTGGGGGCGTGTGGGGGGCTAAACGTTACAGCTATTTTGAATGTGGACAAGTGTCGAGCAAGGAGTGATCTGATTTGCGTAGAGCTATCAGGAAATGCTTCTGGAAGAGGTCTGGGTACAAAGGATTTACTCTCGAAGTGTCGAAGACAGGCAGCTTAAGTGGTAACATTAATGCATGCTGTGTTGCTCGAGACCTTTTAAGTGTCAGCCACGGTGTACTTGTCCCAGTTTCATTTTGGCAGCCTCTATTCTGAATGTACTTAAATTTAGGATGAATGAATGGGAATTCTTTCAGATGTTCGATAGATTATTTACAAAATTATGTTTTTCTTCCCAATGTTAAATGTCAAGATTTAAGATAAATGTTAGTCCAAGTCTGTGATATTAAATTACATGAAATGATTATATGTAGAGATGCACTCATCAGAGTTTGGTGGCTGATTTCCAAGCTTTGACATGCAGATAATACTGATTTCATGAACTTTTATGATATGAGAACAGCATTCAACTGATTATTTTCTACCCTTCCTGCTGTGAGCAATCCTTCATTATTTATACTGGAAGCAGAGGCAACAACACAACTGGTGTGTGAGATATAGATCACCGTAAAACAGGATTGTACTGTTTTATAATATTTTTCAAAATACCTGAGAAATTTTTAAATGTCTATAGCATCTTATATTAGCTATCAGGAAGGATAAATTTACTAAAACAGCACTATCTGTGTATTCTCTAGAAACATAGGTCCTTAACTCAAATCTGTTTATTTCCAAAAGGCAGCTAACATTTCCGAATCCAGCAGGTTGAATGCTCTAAAGGATGGTGTTAGCCTTAAGTTTTTGCGCTCTCTCACATCCTGAAAGAATCAAAGATATGTTTTAACATCACTGTGCTGCCTCTGATCTTTTACTGCTGCCTACAATAGCTTATAGTTGTCACTCCAACTTGGTAGCTAGCATTTACATACGGTTCACTGATCTCAAAAAGATTGTATTTTTGAGTTTCGAAATAGTCGAGTACGGTTATCGGCTGATTTGTTGCTTGTTGTTGCATCTCTAATTACATGACAGAATCCGTCCGTCCGTCCGTGCACAAAAAAACAATCACAAAGCTAACTAGATGATTTTAAGTGTCCTATTCCTTTATAGTCATTAATGCGCATTAGTACGCATTAATAAATAAGTCTGATCTATAAGTAATTCATTGAATGGGAAGTTCAAAGTTTGCATAAGAGGAAACCTGAAGCATTTCTTCTCGGTTATCCTGATGGAAATCTTAAATGTCTGGACTACATTTTAGTGGGCTCTAATTCAGTGGCTGTTCAGATTTTTTCCTTCAAACTATAAATGTCAGCCCTCTTCTGGGTGCTTGAAAGAAAAAGCTTTCACTGAAGCCAATAGGGATTCATCCCTTGGGAACTATAAATGTCTGTAAATATCAATCTATGCCACATTTGTGGAGTTTTTAGTCCAAAATAAATGGTCGAATGACTTACATTGTCAGTGCCAGTTCTTCAGTCACCCCACTAATGTGTCAAAAGTATGTGTCACCCTGTTCCATCTGTCTCAAAGGAACTGAAAGGTTGGGCATATTTCTGGGCAGATGATGATAGAGACCACATCTGTTCAATTAAAAAACACTTATATAACTTAATATGAAATGAGTTTGTGCAGGGATAAAACTCAGGCGTGAGTGACAATAAATAAGACTGGGACATAAACGTTTTTTTGGAACAAAATACCTCCTAAAGAGCTTTAATGAAGTGACAAAATGGCAATCGGCACAGCTAAAGCACTGATATTTTGGTTTAGCAGAGACGTTTCCTTTACTAACCATGTGGTGCAAATTATCATGTTGTTTTCTTGTTTATTATTAGGTTGAAACTTGTGTGTACCACATGCTTTGGCTGGAGTGCAGCTATTGATAAGTTTATCAGTATGTTGACCTTGGTATTAAAGTGAAGCTCTAGGGACAATATGGCAGAAGATTGTAGACCAAGGCTGGAAACTGGCCATTGCTTTATCTCCAAAAAAATCACATAATATTGAAAATATTGAAATATAATTATAATAAAATTATTGCTGTGTAAGATGGACTGGCTGTGCAGGTCAACCAATAACAGCTTAGTCTGTTTAACAACCCAGATTGACAGTTTAAATTGTTTCTTTGTGCACTGAATCACAGGAGCCATGAAATAAGAAATACTGAAAGACTTCTACATATTTATACGCGTTATTAAAATTAAAGTATATTCTTGCGTGTTAAATGTGGCTTTATCATCGACTTGACTAAATAATGATGTTGTGATCTGTTTGTAAGATTGTGGCACTTTTAATCCTCCATAGGGGATTTCATATTTCAGCTGTAAACAGAACACACGTTTCTAACCCACAGCTGCTTGGAGCTGTTGAATTTTGAAAAATTTATAAAATACTAAATTACTGGTCAGTTTTTAAATCTCTACAGCACAGGATTGATGGTAATTTTGTATTTTTTTCTTTTTGTATTTCATTTATTTATATGATGGTTCCAATTTTTCCTCCAGACTTCCGTTTAAACTCATCATCTAATAGGCAAGCATCTGCGGTATATAGTAGAGGACGTACTGTAGTAGTCATATCCCTGTGTCATCCTGAGCTTTGCCAGATGGTTGCTCCAGCTAGTAATGTTGGCGATAATTGGTTTCCCTTCTGATATTACTGGCAGCATGTTGTTGTTAGTCTGCCAGGCCTGCTGAGCCACTGCCCTGGCTCTATCAATCCCACCTTATTCCCCAAGCTGCTGGAGATTCTGTGTGTCTTACTGGGTCACTCTGTAACCAGAGATGGGGAAACTGCCTGGCAACATAAAAGCTCTGTGATCTAATAAGCAAAATTACACTTTGTGTACCAGGTGCTGAGCCTTTCAGGTCATAGACTGCCTCCTTGTAGTTTGACTATCCTTCCTGTTTTAAGAATAGACAGCGAGTGTTACAAAGAAAGCCTGGTGGGTAGAAAACGAAGCAAAGAGATGAGCTAAAAGAAGGTACATTATTCAGCCTGCAAGTGCATCTACAGACAGTCTGCTTGTGAAAGTAGCAGTAGTAGATCCTCCAACAGTAGAAGTGTTTGGGAATACATTCCCAGTCCTGTTCTTCCACTCCAAGGTCTCT